AGATAGATAGATAGATAGATAGATAGATAGAAAGATAGATAGATAGATAGATAGATAGATATATAGATAGAAGGAACACCTGTAATCTTCGTCACTTATAAGACATATTTGTGTTGCGAGTGCCGGAAAAAAAATTCCTAAACTTTCCCAATACCCGAAGAAATCAAGCCAACTTCTAATAGGTATGACGCTTTGGTAGCTCCTTCTTATTTTTTCTCCTTTGTTGTATCTACCTTGTCTAGTTTAGTCTTTCCCACTTCTCCATTTCCCGATAAGCATCTCTTTACTAAAACCAGAATCTTTGACATTCTATAACACCGTATCAACTTTCTACAGCTTGAGGCAGGATCGGTAGGCGAAAGATCAAGTGGTGTTAAAAAAAGACAGTGCAGTGTTTGGTCTCGTTCTTAGATTGGGTATTAAAATTTGCCTGAACAATTATCAGTCCTGCGCTTCTCGACACAAGCTCTTTAAAAACAGCTTTCAAGGTGTACCATTCCATCCTGACACTTGAGTTTTCTCCCCGCAAGCGGATGTTTCTTTTTAAGTAAAATTGACCCCGCTTCATTAAGAATATAACACCAATACACTACCCTAGAATTACCCTAGAAAGTCCTATCTGCTCAGTACCTAGCTTTGAGAAATTTGACGTTAAAAATTTTGAGTTTCACAACATGTCATGTTTTTTTCGAATGCAATTCTTTAAGTATCTTGATAACGACTCCGAATAATCTTACGATTTTAATTGAGCAGATAGAACATTTGGTTTCTGACCTCATGATCTATTAACTCATATCGGCCAAAAATGTTAGATAGAACTTTGTAATTCTAACGTAGCGAATAGTATGATGGTCTCGGGTTCCTCTCCTCAGGCTTTGAACAGCGAAAGCGTTTCGATATGCCTGACACGAAATTTCACAATATACGATAAGCACGTCAGGACCTTCATATTATGTGACTGTGAATCGCGGCGTGATAATGGAATTATTAACACTATTACGTTCAAAACTATCATTAATGTCATTAAAATTGTTCCCGCGAGCTCAGTCAAAATATGTGGCGTTGAACGCCCCTATCACCTCAATCACCCGTGAACTCATCACCACTGTTGTTCACAGGGAGATCTCTAAGTGCATTGAAGATTCTACGACGTCTCTGTTTTTTGTTTTGTTTTAGTAAGTGTTTTACAGCACTTGCAACACTATAAGGTCATATAATTGCCGAAGATTAGAGGTGTGACAAGAGAGTAACAAACACAAAAAAGAAGGAGGAGAGATAAGGACGACAGATACTTGATAGGAAAGAAGAAGCAAACCGCACCAGAGCACCCTCCAACCACCCACTCATGGTCTCTGGTTTTATGAAACCAAGTGAATAAAGAAAGACAGGGCCAACCCAGGTAAAAAGGGATACAACATCCGGGCAGAAAGATAAAAAAAAATTAATACACTTTTTCTCCCCACTCGGGAATCGAACTCGGGTGTTCTGCGTGCGACAGCGGAGTGCTTAACCGCTACACCACTGACGCCGGTTTTACATCTACACAAAGACAGGGGGAAAAAAATCATGACCTTTGTAATCTTTCTTTGACATATTTTAGTCAAAGAGCCACGTGGATTCCCCAGAGAAAGACAATCCGGAAAACGATACAAGCAGCTGAAGATTGTAGCTTCAGGAAAAAGGTAGAATCAAAGTAGTTCGTGTGAGTGTGAGTAAAAAATAAGCACATGAATACAATTACAGTAATTTGTACGGGAAAAAGTAAGACAGACAGACAGACGGAAAGAAAGATAGAAAGAAATAAAGGGGAACTTACTAGTAGTGTCCTCCAACCACCCACCCTCAGTAGTTCCAAAGTATAGTAGCAAAGATACATAAAACTAAAATGAAGGTGAGTGGTTGGTGGGTGCTGTGGTGTGGTTTGCTCCTGCCTTCTTCCCTATCAAGCATCTGTTGTTTTAATCTATCCTCCTTCTTTTTGTGTTTTTTATTTTTTGGTAACACTTCTAATCCTCGGCACTAATATGACCAATTTGTGTTCTAAGTGCTGTAAAACTCGTGGTAAAACTAAAAAACTAAAAACATGAAGGGATGTGTAATCTAAATCTACAATATTCCGTTGCGTAAAGAACGGGATAGATACAATATATTTCTCGGTAAAAGTCAATCTGGAATCTCTTCCTCCCAACCCCCAAACCACCACCCTACCAATTCTTAAAAGTGTCTTTTGCTCATGATGTCACAGCAGCCAAAATGTCGTCTAAAAGATAGAGGTGACCCCGAATGTGCTTACTAAGGGGCTATTCCATTGTAACTGTAGGGGAATTTGGATTATTATACTTTTTATAATTCAAGATCAATTTATTTCTTTCAACTTTGAATGATCAGAACATTGAAAGACACATTCATTAAGAATCATATTAAATGCAGTCATTTGGAGAAAAAAAAAGTACTTTATGCAAATTCTGTGAGATGTTTAGTTTCGGTAACTGACGGGACAAATTAGGTATTTTTTCTGTCTCGTCAGTTACCGAAACTAAACACGTCACAGAATTTGCATAAAGTAATTTTTTCTTCATATTTTTCATTTAATATGGTTCTTAACATTTGTTTCAAATGTTCCGATCTTCTCACGTTGACATAAATTATTTGATATTGAATAACAGAGTCATCTTTGTAAGAAAGTGTTGTCCCAGCGTCCCGCCAGTTACCGTGGAATAGCCCTAAGTCATGACATTTCTACAAGCATCTGTGGTGTCGCGGCTAGATTTCCAAGTGGGGAGAAATTGTACTGAGTATCTCGGTCTTTCTGCTCGGATGTTGTATCCCTCTCAGCCCGGGTTATGTTTTAGTAGAGGTTTTACGGCGCTCGCAACTGCATAAGGTCATATGAGCGCCAGAAGATTAAAGGTGTTACAAGAGAGTAACAAACGTAAAAAAGGAGGAGGGGAGATAAAGACGATAGATGTTTGATAGAAAAGAAGAAGCAACCACACCAGAGCACCCGCCTACCACCCACTGAGCCCGGGTTAGCCCTGCTAGACAGGGTCCGAAGTCCGCTTCCTAAACGATCCAAATTCTGTCAACAGGGGGCGAAAAAACATCTAGATCTATATCGAATATTAAAAAAGACCGTTCCGAATGGTGGGGGGGGGGGGGGGGGGGGGGGGGGGG